TGGTCAGCCTGCTCGCTCGGTGCTCAGGTTGCTGTGGGCGCAGGGAGCTCAGGCCCTCGCCCACCCTGGCCGCCCACAGCCCCTGCCCCTGCGTCCCTCTGCCTCCAGAGTTGCCCGGCCTCAGGGAGCTCAGCCCTTAGAATGGCGCTGACCTTGCTCAGTGCCAGCCTTCTCTGGCCCCTCCTGGGGACCAGGATCCTCCTCCACCTGGGCGTGTCCCCTGAGCAGGTGAGGGCTTGGCTCTTCTCCTGACCCCAGTTCCCTTTGCCCTCCCTCCCGCCCCCTCCCTCTCTTCCTGTCTGTCTGTCTGTCTTGCTCTGTCCCCCAGGCTGGCCTTGAACTCCTGGGCTCCAGGGATCCTCCTGCCTCAGCCTCCCAGTGGGCTGCGACTCCCAGGTGCAGCGGGGCGGCTCTCGGCCTCCGTGTGGACACACTGATCCGATCCAAGGCCCCAATAGGCCGGGTCCTTGTCGTTTCTGCAAAGCATCATTTTGCTTGTCACTGTGACAGTCCTCTGGAGACCGATGGCTCAGGGCAGGGGAGGGGACAGTGCTCTGCTCAGGACACCTCTGTGTCCTTCTAACCCAGGAGGACAGCTGGCAATGGCTCTGGTACCGAGGCAGCAGGTGGGGGTCTTACATGCAGGGGTGAGGGGGCCCCACCCAGACCTGCTGGCTGCAGTTCCCCCCTCTGCCCTAGGCACGGGCAGCTCTCCTTCTGGACGCTCTGCTCACAGCCGCTGCTGAGCAGGTGCCCTGTGGCCCTGGCCAGCCCTGCTTTGCCCTTTTCCAGGTGTCCCGTCACCCACGGGTCCCATCCAGACATCTTCATTTGGCTTCCAAGGCTGCCTGCCACCAGCCCTCCATCCGACCTCCCACCTTGTCCCCACCATTCTTTGCCCAGTGCCACCCTTAATGGCTCTGTGTGTCACTCCTTCCAGATGCCACTTTCTCTGGTGCCCTTTCTCCACCCAGACTGTCCTCTGCTCCAGTCACCTGCACCTCCTCTGCAGCCCCTCCCTGGAGACCCAGCTGGGCCTGGCCCCAGGTGACAGGTGCAACCAGGACCCAGCAGGCTCAGCAGGCAGAAGCACAGGGACAAGGCCTGGCAGAGGCAGCTTCCCCTGGAAGCCACTTGGGAAGTGTCACAGCAGGTGGCCAGAGACGGGCGGGCAGGCTGGCGTAGGAGGCCACTGAGGTCTGGTGCCACTTCCTTCAAGCTGGTGGCCTCGGGCAAGTTAATCAACCTCCCTGAACCTCTGGGACGGGTGGCAGGCGGGTGAGTGCAGTCACGTTGGCGTCTCTGGTCTGCACAGCCTTCAGGGGCCTGAAGGGCCTGTGGGAAGGTTCCAGGCCCCGGGAGACGGGCACCGGGCAGGTGCTCACGACGGCGCTGTTTGCTCCGTGGGGACAACAGGGAGTAGCAGTCTCTGTGTTTGCAGGTTTCCTACGAGTCTGACTTCGTGTGAGTTACTGACGTCACCAGCAGCACCGCATCCCGAAGCCCGAGGGTCCCCCGCCACTCCTGGTGTGGATGGAACTGCGTCCCCCCGAAGATATGGTCAAGTCCTGACCA